AATGTAAACAAATTACGTCATATATTAAGAAATGGATAAAGTTCGATAATTTATTTATTAACGTTCTTTTTTATAGATACAAGTATTTAAGTAAATGCTCTGTTTATAATAAACAGTATTAAATAACATTTACCAGCCTGAATGTCCGAGAAATTTTCATAGAAAATATTCGTCCTCCGACAGGATTCGAATCTGTATTCTATACGGAACCGTCATTTACGCTGACGTGCCTTGACCGTTCGGCCACAAAGGATCGTTCGGTTAGTAAGGTCGATTTTACTGCTTTTATTATAAACAGAGCATTTACTTAAATATTTGTATCTATAAAAAGAACGTATAAACATAAAATGTCTTAAAAACATACATATATATATATATATATATATATATATATATATATATATATATATAAATATAAAAGTGAATATAGAAGTCAACACTTAGAGGCGACAGTCTGTTTCATGCTATATGCAATCGTCAGGCCACGTGTGCTGTTATTTTTCTCGGCTATTTATATATATACGGGTTAGTGGTGCATTGTGGGTATTCTATTATGGCGGTTATTTTTACCGGAAGTCGCTTTTGTTCATTTATTTGGGTCAAGTTATATTGCTCGTTTTTTATTTATTTTTTATTTTATTTTATTTATTTATTTATTTTTTTTTTTTTTTTTGTTTCTTATTTTATTTATTTATTTATTAACGTAGTAAAAATTTGTTTATATCACGTATTTAACAGTTTTGTTTTGGTTTGAGAATTTAATTAAAGCTATTTGTTCAATTTTGGGGTTGGTTGTTGTAGTTCATTCTAACTATTATTTTTTGGCGGGAACAGTTTTTTAATTTGGGATTGGTTTGCCTATTTATTTACTTGGATGAATTTAGGTCAATTTATTTTTATAAACGAGAAATTTATACAAACTAAGCCCTCCTACACACAATAAATTACTCAAGAACAACATAACCAAAACATACAAAAAGGCACCCCAAACAACAGAACACGATATCAATAAGGAAGCTAAAACAATCGCCCAAAAATTAGACCTAGATGACCGAATAAATTGTATTAGCAAGGCACGAGCCTTTATCACACTAAAAGACCATAAAGAAAATTTCAAAACTAATCCTGCATGCAGACTCATAAACCCAGCCAAAAGCGAACTAGGTAAAATAAGTAAAAACAATACTAGAAAGAATTAATTCTGAACTTAGGAAGAAATTAGGAGTAAACCAGTGGAAAAAATACGAAAACAACTATTGACTGGTTCCACAACATAAATAACAAACAAAATTGCCAATTCCTACAATTAGACATAAAAGAATTTTACCCATCTATAACAGAACGTATGCTAGATAAGGCCATCGACTTAGCTCAGGAACAAATAATAATAAAACCAAGCGAAATCAACATCATTAAGCACTCCCGTAAATCATTATTATTCCACAATGAAGAAGCATGGATAAAGAAAGATGGGATATTTGACACTACAATGGGAAGCTTTGACGGTGCAGAGGCATGCGAAATCATAGGCATTTACTTACTACACGAACTGAGCAAAATAATAGATAAAAATGACACAGGACTCTACAGGGACGACGGCCTCATAATCTTAAGAAACTGTAACAAACAAAACACAGACAAAACTAGAAAAGCAATAATAAAGATTTTTAAAAATAACGGATTCGACATAGATATAAAAACTAACCTAAACGAAGTAGATTTCCTAGATGTGACCTTCAACCTAAGAGAAGGCACATATAAACCATACAGAAAACCTAACGATAAACCACTCTACATACACACATCTTCCAACCATCCGTCTTCTATAATCAAACAGATACCAAAATCGATTAACCGCAGGCTCTCCGACAATTCCTCCAATGAATCCCTATTTAACAAAGCTAAAAAAGACTATGAAACGGCCCTAAAAGATAGCGGATTCCCAGCAATACTCACATACTCACCACAGAATACAAAAAAGACCAACAGGAGAAGAAATATCATATGGTTCAACCCACCGTACAGCAAGAACGTAAAAACAAACGTAGGAAAAATATTCTTCAAACTCTTACACAAACACTTCCCAGAATCAAGCACCTTACACAAGATATTCAACAAAAATACAGTAAAAATCAGCTACAGCTGCACCGAGAGCATGGCACAAATAATAAAAAAAGCACAATAGGAAAATTATCAACAAACCACACGAACAAATTAAACCCACGTGCAACTGCAGAATAAAGAACGAATGTCCCTTAAACGGAAATTGTCTACAAAACAACGTAATATACCAAGCCACGATAAAATCACCAGATAACGAAGAAAAAAGTATACATAGGAGTAACTGAAGGACCCTGGAAGCAAAGAAATTATACACACAAAACATCGTTCACAAATAGTAAATATGCGAACAGTACTATGCTTTCTAAGTATATCTGGGAAATAAAAAACAAAACGCACATCACACCAAAAATATCTTGGAAGATAAGGAAAAAGTCATCAGCCTACAACAACCAATCAAAAACTTGCAAACTTTGCTTGGAGGAAAAAATAGCTATCATTACTTTCCCCGACCAAAATAAATTATTAAATAAAAGATCCGAGCTCATCTCAAAATGCAGGCATGAAAATAAATTTTTACTACGTAACCTAAAAAATGAAAAACGGAAAAAATAAAATAAAAACAAATACAATAATAATAATAAATAAAAAAAAAAAAAATAAATAAATAAATAAATAAATAAATAAAATAAATAAATAAGTACTATGTTGCTTAAAAACCGAAAACCAAAAAGAGAAAATATAAAAATAAATTGACCTAAATTCATCCAAGTAAATAAATAGGCAAACCAATCCCAAATTAAAAAACTGTTCCCGCCAAAAAAATAATAGTTAGAATGAACTACAACAACCAACCCCAAAATTGAACAAATAGCTTTAATTAAATTCTCAAACCAAAACAAAACTGTTAAATACGTGATATAAAACAAATTTTTACTACGTTAATAAATAAATAAATAAAATAAGAAACAAAAAAAAAAATAAATAAATAAAATAAAATAAAAAATAAATAAAAAACGAGCAATATAACTTGACCCAAATAAATGAACAAAGCGACTTCCGGTAAAAATAACCGCCATAATAGAATACCCACAATGCACCACTAACCCGTATATATATAAATAGCCGAGAAAAATAACAGCACACGTGGCCTGACGATTGCATATAGCATGAAACAGACTGTCGCCTCTAAGTGTTGACTTCTATGTTCACTTTTATATTTACACACGCTCTATCTCTGATATTGAGCACTTTATCCCATAAATATAGCACACCTTAAGACTATATTTCTTTATATATATATATATATATATATATATATATATATATATATATATATATATATATATATATATATATATATATATATATATCACTTTCCCACCGCTATAAGTTTTCTTCTCTGTATCTTTTCCATGGTAATTATTTGGCTGAACTCTTCGCCACGGTGTCTGGACGAATTTAAGCGCTGTACAAGACTGGCGTCGAGATCTCATCAATTAACAATTGAGCTGGCTGGATGTAACCGTAAGTTCTATCCTAACAGTTTTTTTCTCACACTTCTCACTTGTGGAACACCCATTCCGGCTCCATGCTTTCCAACCAACTTTAATCTGCAGAAATCTAAATGCAATGTCAATCGCTATCTGTTTACACTTCCCCGGTTTCCGCTCAAATAACAATTGTTTCTGTTTCTAACTCTTTCGCAACCAATAATTCCTTGTATCTCAGTGGCTTTACTGCTTTGCTTGGTGTGAACTCGATTTAAAAAAATATGACTTCATTTATGTTGAAATTTCTGCGATGAAGAATTGTCGTTTTTATATATGCTTTTACATGCTGGCTAGTGTCCTTATACTGGCTGTTATACTCACAACGTTCCATCGATGGTACCCCTTGTCTTCTTCCCATATCTTTCGCAGTCGGATGGTCTTGCCTTTGTTATGACGTAATTGCATAGAGTGAACACACTCAGTTCTTTGTCAAGTTCCGAGTTTCAGTTATTGGTTCAGGGAAATTTAGAAGGCAATTAAGATGACAGACAGTGAACAACATTGTAGTATAAGGCCAATGAAAATATCACCGCACATATTATGACCTGAAAACCTCTTCAGTAGACCCAGGATAAAGACGAACACCATCTATGAATCTCTAATTAAAAAAGAAAGAGCATTCACAAAATCTGATTAAGTGAAATGGTCTTGTCGAGAACCTTTAGGATCACTTTGTTCTTTATAATGTACGTACGAAAACAGGTAGATTGACTTGAATATTTGAACATTTATATTTTAGAAAAATAAATACTTCACTGCAAGATGTAGGAAATCTAAAGGTAAAAGATAAAATATTTGATATTTTTGGAGGTGCATAGAGGCACTGACGTCATAGAAAAAAGCCACTAATAGCCTGACTCTTGTTATTCCTTTCGGGGTATTTTTCTTTGGTTTTCATTAAGATGCAATTTGATAATAAAATATAGCTAAATATTTCTTTTAAAAGGCCAGTTTCTATGCCATCTCGGACGTGCCAAATTCACTTTAACACCGACATTCCAGACAAATATTCGGCATATTGGCAATTTTTGACTGGTAATGTTTTTCTTCATTTTGCAGAAATTTCTAGTCAGCATTTTTCTCAAGAATCAGTCAATTGTAGAAAAATGTTATTATTGACTCAGATAGATAAATTTCTGCTTATTTTTTGTTTTTTTACGGTTTATCAATCTTTTGCAGGTTATTTAAGGCCAGAAAATATTTTAGATTTGAGATAATAATGATGTTCTGATACAAGTCTTACTAATTAACTCATAGCTGAGTGGGGGAGAAACGGTGGGTGCATAACTTTTGCGCGTGAATATAAAGAATACGACTGGAATTGGAACTCGGCTCTCCGATTTCCAAATCCGAGTCGTTATCCATTACACCATCGGCATATCCAAG